GAGCGATGGATATGCCTCTCTTCCTCCAAGTCCCTCAGCACCAGCCCCCCAGCTCCTGAGGGTCTTCCCCTTGGCAACAGTTGTAAGGGAGGATGTTTCTTCCCTCTACCAGACTGTAGTACTGCAAGGACATTGTCTCCCAGGATGTTAGACGAGAAACAAAAGCGATCAATTAAGCAAAGGAGACACGGTTCTAGTCTTCGATATCAAAACATTTATCTGTTCTCAAACCACTTGGAATTGACTTGGAAACTGGAAGCTTGAAACTGGCAGGTGAGACTGAAATGGTTCATAAGCATGGAATTCTACGACACACTCCCCAGACACTGAGGGCCCACAAACCCTACAAAGCCTGAGGGTGAGAGAGGAAAGCCATGCGCTGAAGCCATTCACCTGAGATGATGCACTGACTTCCTAAGTCAGGTACCTGAACAAATGCAGGAGATTTGATTTACCGTCAGTTTATATAAATTAGAGGCCAGGGGGAGGGGGAGGAAGTCACTGAAATTTGTCTACTGTAATAAGAGGGGTGGGATTTTGTTGTTTTGTTCTTTTTTTGTTTGTTTTTGGTTAATTCTCACCCGAGGATATTTTTTCCATTGGTTTTTTTTAGAGAGAGTGGGAGGGAAGGGGAGAGAGAGAGAAACATCGATGTGCGAGAGACACCTAGATTGGTTGCCTCCTGCACACCCCCCAACCAGGGCTGGGATCAAGCCTGCAACCGAGGTATGTGCCCTCGATCAGAATCAAATCGGTGCCGCAACTCTTGAGTCCAAGAGCCAGCGCTCTAACCAATGCACCAAACCAGGCAGGGCAAGAGGCTTCATAAAGGGCATCTCAGGATCTTAGAGGAAAAACAGTTTATAGAGGGTGCCCCCCCCCCCCAAAAAAAAGTACAGGTATACACACGTTTAACAGCTGAAAGCTCAACTTGGAAAATGAAATGTATTTTAACAAACACTGCCTCTATGATTATTCCAAGTGTGTGTATACCTTTGGGGGGGGGGGGGGGGACACCCTATACTTCCCAGGGAACACTGAGTAGTGTGCCAAGAAAATCAGTGTTAGCATTAAACTGAATGAAGTAAAAACGATCTGAAAATGGAAAGGGCCAAATGTTAAGTGTTTGTTCTGCCACTACGGAATAAGCCCAGTATCATGAATTGCATGTGTCCATGAATGGAGCCCAGAACCTGAACCTTGGGTTATTAAGACTAACTTTAACTTTAGAACCCCCCCCCCAAAAAAAAATGCTACCAAATTTTGAGTCAGCAGGAAAGTTTCAAAGTTAAAATTTATCAACGTTTGATGCTATTTTCTCCCCAAGGGCTGCCTCACCCTCTCTCTAGTTTCTTTTCCTTGAAAAAGGGTAAGGAGAAAAGTTTGGATTGCAAATCTAGGAGGCTAGCAATTAACTCTAATTTCTCTCACCCTTCCCGTCTTCAAATATTACAGCCATCTAAACAAAACTCACCACAAGTCCCAAATTACCCGCTCAACAAAAACAACCACGAAAAGACCCAAAAGTTAAGGAAGGGGTAGGAATTGTTTAAAAGCATCCACCGAAGTGAAATCAAAGAACCCAATGGCGGTCACGGGACTATATCATGAAACAATTTCAGAAGTCCAAAGTTCAACTTCCTTTACTGCAGGAAAACACAAAGTTCACGTGAAAACTTTTTTCTTTGCAGAAAAATAAACAACAGGGTTGTAATTATGAAACAGGTGACCAGTTGGTTCAAGAATAGGTGGAACTAAGGATTCTCCTAGAAGCAGGAAAGTACCAGTGCTAGGTAGTTATAATAATGATGATACTAAATAACAATGCAGTAAGAAATGCCCCAACTCTCGCAGGAAAAGCCTCAAATTAGGAACCAGATTTTAAAGAGTTACTTTCAAAGCTCCATTAAAGATTATAACGAAGGAAAGTAAAAAATCAAAACCCCAAATCAAAGCTAGACAGTCACTGCTGGAAAGAACCTTCACTAAGTCATCTGGGTGATGGTGTGGCTTTGGCTGGGTTCCTCTTAATAGATGAAAAGGAGCAAGCTGGAAGAATCAGCGCTCAGCAGCCTACCCCACAGCCCCGCTCACCCCCACGGCCCACTCACCCCCACGGCCCACTCACCCCCACGGCCCACTCACCCCCACGGCCCACTCACCCCCACGGCCCAGCTCACCCCCACGGCCCACTCACCCCCACGGCCCACTCACCCCCACGGCCCAGCTCACCCCCACGGCCCACTCACCCCCACGGCCCAGCTCACCCCCACTAGCCAGCTCACCCCCACTAGCCAGCTCACCCCTACCAGCCAGCTCATCCCCATGGCCCAACTCACTACCATCGGCCCGGCTCCCCCCCACCGCCCAGCTCCCCCCCACCGCCCAGCTCACCCCCACCGCCCAGCTCATCCCTCTACCATGGACTTTGTCAGAAGACAGTATGAGGTCATGCCCCGCTATTACTACATCTTACAGCACGGTTACATTCACTCTGGCATTGTGCTGGTTTCTAAATGACATGTTATGAATATAGTTTAACGGAGAGTTACTAACAGAGACGAGAGACAGAGTGCTCAATACGCTTTTCAATACTTATTAAACTGAAAAATCCATTTCTCTCCCAAACTTGGATGAAAGGAAGAAAAACAAACAATGTGCAGGCCAGATTCCTTCCTCAATACCCTTCCTCTGTACTTTCCTGCTTTTCTCATTTAAACCCAACAGTACAGAATCTTCATCTTCTCTGGAGGTAATATTTACGCGGTTTTTAATCACACTCAAAGTTCTATGAATAACCTCTTCTAATATTTAAAGTCGTGTGCTTCACCTGCAAAAACCTTTCTATTTTATAATAAATGCTTAAGCAAAGCCATTTAAGAAAGCCATTTAACATAATGCTTAACATGAGGCTATTAAGAAATTAAGAATACTATTTTTAAGAGATAAAAAATTTATAATCACAACTTGCCTAGAAACAAGAATATTAATCTTAGATGACACACTGTGATACCCTTTAGGAATTCCTGACCAGGAATCGAACCCACAACCTTGGTGCATCAGAAGGATGCTCTAACCAACTGAGCTACCCGGCCAGGCCAAGAGTAAAATTTTATTGCTCTACAAATTGTCAACTACATTCCGGGGTATAGGATGTTTACTCACCACAAAAAATACTACTAAATACACTCTAAATTTGAATTATTTTCTTAAATTTGGTATAAAGGTTGGGAAAATGTATAATATGCAGACCAGACTAATATTAATTAAAGATACGCTCCCCAGTCTATAAACTTCTTCCTCAACCAATCAACTCTCACAGTATTTTTGAAAATAAGTTATACTCTCACCTATGCCCCAACTAATCAAAGCAAAACACAAAGCAATGCTGGCCATGTTCTCATTAGTCCCTGACTCACAGGGCTTGAACTACATGGCACTTAGACCAGGAAGTGCTGGGTATATAGTATCTGGCACATTCCAGACAGAATCCGACCGGCTATATTATGGCCCCAAAGCCTTTCCTCTATTCTCCACATAATGGCTCCGAAAGTTTGACTTAAGAATTTTTGAATTCACAAAACTATCCAGAAAAATTTGTTTTAAGTCTTCCAAAGTTTTTTAAAAATGAACAGCAATAAAAAGAAAACCTCACACAAACTCATCAGCTTAAAATGAATATGCTGGAATAGACCATATGAAGAAAATCTTAGTTTGAGGTTGCAGGCACATGTGAGTGTGTCTGTATCTGTATATACATACACCCACAATATATGCACATATGTATAATGCACCATGAACCATCAGTTGCGATTAAGCCCAAGGACTATTAAAGAAGTATTTCCCGAGCTGCTAAGAAGGGGGTGGGGTGGAGTGGGGGGGAGGTGGGCACATAAGGAAAACAACATGTTAAATTTTCCTCCAGAATTTTCTAGCATTTTGCGGTAAGGGATGGACTGCCTTTTCTAGCCCAAGTCACAATTAAGCAGCCCATTCTATTTTGATGCATTGTGTATGCAGTCGGGCACATGCAGCAAAAACAGTCTGATTTTTAATAACGTTGTAGTCTTCATTCTCTCTCCTACAAACATCTCAGAAAACAGAACTACATCCTACCGATGCTGACACCGACCAACTCTTGTCAATTACAAATGCGTAAGGACTGTTGCAGACGTTCGGATTTGACTGCTCACCGGCAGAGCCAGGCTTTGAAACTGACCAGAAATGTCATACAACGTAACGTGTTTCGCAGCCGATTTTACTAGCACAAGAGACACCAGAGCGACGGGGGGGGGGGGGGGGGGGGCTTTTCACCCACCCCCTCCAATGAAATTCTGTAAAAATCCAAGACTGACACAGGATTTCACTCAGCGAGGCACCTAGCCAGGTCTTCTTCCTTCGAAACCCAGACTAGGCAACAGCCCGCTGCAGGCACACACCGTGCTCGGTCGCCTGTCATGTGCTGGACCCCATCGGTGCCCACACACCTGAACCACCTGGGCGGGCGGGCGGGCGGGCAGCCCCCGGGCGCTGCTGGGGTGCAGGCGACACCCAAGCGGCTCAGCTCCCCCGGGGACACTGGGTGGTGGTAACCTTGGCGCCAAGTCCCTCCACAGTCCAGACCCGTTTCCCCGCTGGAAAAGGCGTCAGACTGTGCCAAAGGCACTGCTCCGATCCTGGGGACCTCGGCCACAAAGGAGGACAGAAAAGGGCTGGCGTCCTCCCGAGTCCAAAACTCTGCTCCCCACGCAGGCCACCCGGCTTCGGGTCGCAGCCCCGTGGCAGCTCCCGGAGCAGCCCGGCCGGCCGGGCGAGAGCTCAGTTTTCCCGGCGGCAAAATGGGATGCCCGCGGCCGCCCTTCCCTGCGCCAGGGAGTCCCGCACCCCCGGAGGTCTGAGACTCCCAGGGATCGCGTGGTGGGGAGGGGCCGCCGCTCCCAGGACGCCCCCCGCCCCCCACCCCCCGGACCTCCCCTCCACCGAGACAGCAGACAGCCTACCGGGCTTCACGGTCTTGAGACGGATGGGCTCGCGGAAGTGGCGGATGACAGCCAGGGTGTCCCGGTTGGTGAGCCCGCTGACAGGCGTCCCGTTCACCTCCAGCAGCACATCCCCGGGGCCGGGCGCCTTGCCCGAGAGGACGCAGCAGGTGCCCCCGCCGGGCTCGTCGCGGAGCCGCCCCAGGTAGGGGAACTCGCCGCGCTCGGCGCCGCCGCGGACCTCCACGCCCAGGTCGCCCGGGGGCCCGGCCCAGGACACCACGCACTCCTGCACCTTGCTCAGCCAGTGCTTCTTCTTCTTCAGCGTCTTCGACATCCCGACCCCCGCTGCACCATGGGGGAGACCCCGCGCCGGCGGCGGGGGCCCCGGGCGGCCCGCGCAGCCCGGCGAGGGGGGCCTCGCCGCTCCGGCGCCCCGAGGACCACAGCCCGCGGGGGGCCCGGCCGCTCCAAGCCCCGAGACGGCCCCCTCGGACGCCCCTCCCGGCAGCGCTCCTCGGGGCTGGCCGGGCTCTCCCGCGGGCTAGACCGCGGCGAGGAGGAGGGCACGGTCCCCAGGCGGCTCCGGAGGGGTGTCGGGCGGGGTCACAGGCGACCGCCGGCCCCGGGGGTTCTGCGCCCCAGCGGCGGGAAAGGCGGAGGCTGAGGGGCGGGGAGGTCGGCGGGGAAGCGCCGGGGCGGGAACAATCCGTCGGGGACGCGCAGGATCCCCATAGACCGGCGCCCGGATCGAAGGTGGCCGCTGCGGAGCCGGAGCGCGGAGACCGACGCCTGCCCCGGCTGCCAGGAAACTGCCGCTTTCAAACCCGCCGCAAGCTCCTCCGCCGCCCGGTCCCTGCCCCCGCCCTCGCCGCCCGCCTGCCCGCCCCGCCCGCGGCGCCCGGCGCGCTGCCGTCACTGGCCGGGCGCTCGGGACTGCGCCCCAGCGCTCGACACGCGCGCGGAGGATTGGCCCCCGGCGGGCAGGGGGCGGGCCCTCGCCGCGAGTGAGGGCCACCGATTGGGTGGTTGGCGCGAAGGAGGCGGGCACTGGGATGACTGAAGTTTAAAGAGGGTGGAAAAAAGAAGTTTGGAGAGTGAGGGAGGGCGAGAGGGAGGGGTAGGGGAGGGGAACCGGCTCCAGATTGCAGGGCCCAGAGGCCCTCGGGCAGCAGCTGGAGCCCGGGGTAAACTCGGATCGGAAGAGAGATCCCACTCCCCGAGGTGGAGGCGTGGCTGGCGAGCCGGGCGGAGTCGGGGCGGGGCCTGCAGGAGGGACGCTGAGCCCCGAGGCTGCACTTTGGACCTGAGACTCCTGGCTGAGTCCACGGCCAGAGGTGGCTGGGCCTCCAGGGTGGCCTGTTACAGCCGATCCCTTACACTGAGGCAATGTTTCTTGCTAGTTCATTCTTTTAAGGAATGTTATTGAAAGTCCACTGAGGCAGGGAGTCCCTTTGATAAAAGGTAGAGTCGGGGACACACTGCTGTGTGCCCTCGGGCAATTAGACCACCTCTCTGAGCGGCAGCATCCTTAGCCGAAAAATGGAGATAATTCAACCCCTCCAAGTTGTTGGAGAAATAACATGAGGTGCATATAAAATACCTGCATAGCAGTGGTTCTCAACCTTCCTAATGCCACGACCCTTTAACACAGTTCCTCATGTTGTGGTGACCCCCAACCATAAAATTATTTTCGTTGCTACTTCATAACTGTACTTTCGCTACTGTAAACAATATGTAGTTATATATGTGTTTTCGGATGGTCTCAGGCGACCCCTGTGAAAGGGTCGTTGGACCCCCAAAGGGTCGCGCCCCACAGGTTGAGAACCGCTGGCATAGTGCCTGGGAGGGGCATGGATGCCTCTTAACCATTTGGTTGCTGCCTGCTGAGGATAAGGATTACTCTATGGCAGAAAGTGTGCCAGGTACTGGGGTTCAAGGATAAGGAAAACAGAAGCCCTGCTCTCAAGGTCACAGTCTAGGAGAGACTGACAAGTTAGCCACCTGCCTGAGGTGAGCTGGGGTAGAGTGGAGATAGAAGGTGGAGTAAGAACTAGCCTAGTAACTAGCAGACCTGGGTTGGAGTCCTGGCATGCTACTGCCTTGCTGTTTGACCTTGGCCGGATCTCAGCTTCAAGCTTGCACATCTGTAACCGAGGTGGAGGGAGAACTACCATCGAATAAAGGGCATCTTAAGTCCCTTCCACTACTTTCCAGAAACTCTTCTGGAGCTCTCATCTCTTCCCTGGCTCGACTCACACTCATCTCTGGCTTTTAAAAATCCCATCCTCCTCCGCCCCAATGCCATCTCTTCCAGGAAGCCTTCTCTGATTTCTTGTCCTCAGGTGGAAAGTGTCTTCTCTGACCTATGATAGCTTGTTTCACCTTTGCACATGACATGGAGGTACTCTCCTGCCTCCCTTTAGATCAGTGGTTCTCAACCTTGGCTGCACATTAGAATCACCTGGGAATCTTTTTAAAATCCTGATTTCTGGGCCTCATCCTCCTGAAATTCTGTTTCTTTGTTACTAATGTTGTGGCCCCACCCCATAACAAAGAAACAGAATTTCGGGAGGATGAGGCCCAGAAATCAGGATTTTAAAAAGATTCCCAGGTGATTCTAATGTGCAGCCAAGGTTGAGAACTACTGCTTTAGAGGTTGGGGAAAGCCCTGAGGTAATTCCACAGAATCTGCCCCAGTCTTGGGCAGACTGAGCCCAGCTTCCACAGCTGCAGTGATTTTGTTCACACCTTTGTATCAGCCAGGGCCTAGCAGGAAGCAAATGGAACTTGACAAAGATGTGGGGAGGGTAGGAAACCACAAGGGAATGTGGAACCCTGGGGCCACAAGCTCCCAGATCTGCAGAAACAAGGTGAAAGGAACAGTTAGGAAAACTTGGTACAGAGAGGGCAGCCTGACAAACGCCTGTGACCTTTTGTCCAGCAATGGAATCACCCAGGGAGGAAGCTGGGAGATTTATACCTCACTCACCGCCCTCCACCAGGCTCTTGCTGGAACATCCTGATGGCCAAATCCAACCGGAAGCCAAAGGGCAAGACAGCCTTTTGATGCAGTTCACATCAGTCAGACACACACAGAAGAGGAAACTGCATCTGGAGATAAAAAAATAAAAGGGGGGGGGGTGCTTAGCACAGTTACGTGGGCTGCTCAGATTTACCCAGATCTGAGACAAAGCTGGAGTATTTTTTTCTGAACTACTGCCTACACTGACGGATTCTGGAATGAAATCTTGATGATCTCCCCATCATCTATTTTTGCAGCAACTCTGAGAAAACACCTTTTCCTGCCCAGATTGTATCCATTAGGATACTTTTGGCCACAAGGAATAGAATATTCGACTAACAGAAGCTTAGAGTATGAGGTTATTTACTACACCTTTAACATGCTATTCAGATATCTTCTATAATAATAAAAGTGTAATATGCTAATTAGATTGGACATCCCTGCACACATCCTTCCGGATGACCTTCTGGATGAAGCCGGGCTGCAAGGGAAGCTCAGGTCCCAGGTGCCAGAGGTAAGCTGGTGCCAGCAGCTGGGGGAAGGAATTTCATGCATCGGGCCTCTAGTAAGATCTCAGCATTGCTAATCACCTTTAGAATTCTTTTTCTTTTTTTTTAATTGATTTTTTACAGAGAGGAAGGGAGAGAGATAGTTAGAAACATCGATGAGAGAGAAACATCGATTTAGCTGCGTCCTGCACACCCCCTACTGGGGATGTGCCCACAACCCAGGTACATGCCCTTGACAGGAATCGAACCTGGGACCCTTCAGTCCGCAGGCCGACGCTCTATCCACTGAGCCAAACCGGTTTCGGCACCTTTAGAATTCTGTACATATTAAATGCACCCATCTTTGTAAGCTTGGGCTCAGTTTTTTAAATACGCTAGAAATAGCTGTCCACCCCAGTGAATTGATTCTGGTAGGATACTGTTCCGGAAATAACTACATAATTTTAAAAAATCACATTACAAGCGTCTATCTCTGCTATGGTGCGTAACCTAATAACATAACCTAATAAGTTATAGCTGATGATCTCCAAGGTTTCTTGGGGCTCCCTCTAGCCACCTAATCTACAGAGATACACAGACATGTATCGATGTGCATTCCCACCAGCTGGGTCCCAAGATGGCTGCAAGGCTACCAGAAACGTAAGTATCACAGAAGTGTCCGAACTGAAAGAGGCGAAGGGAGTGTCTCCTTGCCTCATTTTCTTCCCATAAATCGAGGAAACCTTCCCACCACAGCCCCCAGCAGGACCTCCCCTCCAGCTCCTCAGCCAGACTTGCCCAAATGTCCTTTCCTAAACCAAAGACGCAAACGGTAATGAAGACCCTTATCCAATTCCACCCTCTGAGCGGAAGGGGACCCAGCATCTCATACAGCACATGGCTACACAAGGCTACTAGGCGGGCTCGTAGCCAGCGTGGGGAGGGGGGATTGGCTTTCAGGTGAGCGATCCTCCACCGTGCCCTCCACAAATACACGTGCTCAGCATGGACTGGCTGCTAACCGGGGTCGGGGAGGGAGGCGCCAGGTGGGAAGTGTGGTTTGTTTTATAATATTGTGCCAAGTGTTCCTAATAGAGTTCAATCGATGCCAGTATAGATTTCCAATTTTTCTCAAATGGCCCATGCTCAGTGGCTCCTCTGGACAACCCCGCGTGGCCTGGGATGGTGATGGAGCTTGTGCAGCCGGCAAGGTTGGGGCCCTCATCACCTCGGAGGCTGTGTGGGTAACGCCCTGGAACGGTGCGCGGCTCTGTCAGAGCGAGGCAGGCACCGGGAGGCGTGTTACCTTTCACTGAAGTGTTCGATGCTCATGAGCTTCTTTTCATGGAAGCCTGGATCTCTTGTAACTGCAACTCAAACCTGCATTATTTCGATGACGTCATTCTCAAGTATGAAGGCGGCAGGGGATGGGGGTGAAGCGGAGTGGACAGATAAAACAAATATTTGCCTCCTATACAGAACAGGTCTCCGGTTTTTATTCCCACGGATTATTATAAAATCCTCTTGGATTTTTAAAAAATTCTGATGCACAAAAAATCTTTCACTGGCTTAGAAAATGCTCAGATTTACCTGGACTGTGGTGGAAATGATAGATGTAAGCGTCATCTAACATTAAAAGCCTAACCAAATTCTGTATTAATGATCTTGGGGATCCTTACATTTTATTAGCATCTTTATTTGCCTAGGTCTACGGGCTAATTTGTATGCTAATGCTAAGATAGTCTCAATTACCAAAGCAATAACATGGAACATTTTATTTCAGTTAAACTAATTCATTCTCTAAAATCTGGCTTACTTTGTTTCATGCATAAACGTGCATTTTTTTTTGCCCAGAAGTGCCCTTACCTGCAAATGATCAAGTGACTCCAATCCCAAATCATCACAGAACAAGAGAAACATTCAATATCAACTACAGCACCAACATTAGAGAAGAGAGTTTGGCAGTCAGATGCCAAGTCTGGCTAACAAAGCAGGGCAGAGAGAACACTGAATGAAACAGAACATACCAAAATGCCCGTCTTCTCATCTTTCAGCTTAAACGCAGCCTCCTACTCCAGGCCAGCCTTGATTTCCTGCTGCTGGGGCCCATCTCTTCCTTCTTCGGAACCAACAGCCTACTGCCATCTACGCGTTTTCCTTTTCACTGGGCCTCGAGATTCTTGAGAACATTTGTGTCATCCCTCACCTCCCCCTCCACCCCTCCCTCCTGCACTGGCTGGGCACTTTGTCTTCTGTATCATTTGCACACATTTGTTCATTCATTCATACCGACGAGAGAGAGAGAGAGAGAGAGAGAGAGAGAGAGAGAGAGAGAGAGAGAG